TGTACAACTGTCGTGCTGGAGTGCCTGTGCTGGTGCTGCTGCTTCCCAGGGGCCTGCGTTGATGGGAGGAAGGCTGGCAGGGAACAGCCGGCGGTAACATCTGCGCAGGTTTGGGTTGGTGGAAGCTAATTCTTGCCACGGGGTGAGGTTTACATGGTTTTGTTCCTCTGGAGGGGTGCTAGGTGCATGGAGTCCTGCTGGTGTTTCAGAGAGCTGGGAAATAATTCAGCAAAGAGATTTCTGCAGTGTAATATTTGCGTAGGCTGCTGTAGTTTAAAGTAGGTGTAGTAGTTTATTTGCCTGGTAGTGCCCAGCCTTTCCAGTGCTTGCATATCAAGAGTGCTTGACAAAAACATAGTTTTCCCAACATAAGGCTCTCATGTTGACCACCAGAGTCCTAACAGGAGCAGTGAGGAGAGACTTGCAGAGTGGATGGGAAATTTGGGAATACTTGCCATCACCCTTTGTCAGAAATGCACATCTCAGGCAGGTAATAGATCCCCTCTCATTTCTCCTTAGAAACAGTTTAGATCTGTAGAATGACACTGTGCTGTGTTTGTTCAAGTCTGCAGGTTTGAAGTCATCTGCTTACTACTTGAGTTTCACAAAGTGAGAAGCAGGTCAAGTAAGAAAAGTAGCCTTATATCTAATCTTGGTAGTCATGAAATTAAGATACAAATCTCTATATAATGATATACAGCGAGTAAAAATCCTTGTGTAGCTAATTAAAAAGCAAAGTCTATTTTTTTTTTGCCACATATACCTGTTTGTAACTTCAGCGAGTTTGTTTCTACACATTCAGTAATTGCTGATTTCAGCTTTTTTTTTGTTTGTTTAAAAATATATTTGGGAAGACAGTTTGATTTACTGGAGTATAAACTTTACTAGATAGTCCATCTGTCAAAATGAATCTGGAAAAAATACTTTGGAACTTGGAAGTGTTCAAGGCCAGGTTGGATGGGGCTTGGAGCAACCTGTTCTAGTGAAAGGTGTCCTTCTGTGTGGCAGGGGGTTTGGAACTGGGTGAACTTTAAAGACCCTTCCAGTCCAGACCATTCTGTGATTCTATGATTCTTTGAACTTCAGTTGGAATTTTATATTCCTAAACAAAAAAGTTTATGCTGAGAATATGTTAATACCAATAATCCTGTTTTACAGCGACACACTTAGAAAGGACATCATCTACAGGTCATGCACTTGAGCTGCCTTTGTATAAGTTAACTCTAAAGTGAGCAGAAGTTCAGTTAAAAATCTCTGCACCTGTTTGTTTAATAGTCCCTTGTGTTTCCCTGGGCTACCAGGAAATAATGGGGTGTGACATGTGGTAAGAAACAGAAGTGAAGGTGAATGTATAGAGATCGCTGTCATTAAGATTCCTTATATTTCTGTAGAGCCTGTGGAGCACTTTAATTACGTTATTCAGATACTTAAACGTGCATTTGCTGACTGGATACTTTAAATGTTGTAGGCTGTTCAGTAATAGGTGTCTTACGGTGGCTGTCTCTTATCCTTTAGCAGTCCCAAATTTGAACTTTACAATAATGACATGTTGCAGCTGAGCTGTGCTTGCTGTTTTTAAAGTTTCATGTCAATATTTCATGAAGAGTGGTTTACTGTTTGAACTGGGCATTAGGGTCTTAAGGCTTTCATAAACAAAAATCAGTCTCTGAAGCTCCCAGAGTGAGAGCAGGCAGCTTCAGGCATTTTTAACTTGGAATAGTAGGACTGCGGTGTTGGAAGTACTTGTGTCCTTGGACCACAGTAAGTGTGCTTGTAGATGCACAAAAATTAACATTAAAAACATTGTCGATACCCTTTCTTTAATAGTTTATACAAATTGCAGATCAGGGCTTTGTTTCTAAGCTACTTGCTGGCAAGGTATTCCTTATTGATCAAGAATTGCAGTAAGTGGGGAGGTTACAAATCTGAATTTCTGAAATTACTCACTTTGAAGGCAGAAGGTATGGTAGCTGCATATCCGTTGCCACAGTTCCCAGAGAATAATTCTGTGTGGTGTGGTTTCCCAAGTGCTTAATGTGCTTAATTTCTTGTCATTGACATCCTAAGTTTTCATAGAAATGTTGCAGAAATGTTCTGTATGCTTAGGTTGCATTTTTGTTGTCTCAAGAAGTACCTCACAAAGGTACTGATGATGCTTTGTTGCAGTGGATTTGAGGAGCAACTGGGCATCTCTCCCCCAGCAAACTTACTGCCATGCAGCTTTGTAAAGAAGATAGGCCTAAATATAAAAAACTGAAAGAAGTTCAAAATGAGTGTGTGAAAGAGAAGTGCGAGTCTTTAGACTGAACCACAGTTTTCCCATCTAACCTGATTGTGGAACCTGCAAACCCTCAGGTAATGCAGGTGGATGTTTTTAGGCCTTTCTCATGATCGCCCTACAATATTAAGGTTTTTTTTTCCCTTTTGAGGATTAGATGAACCGTAGCATGTGGAATTGCAAAACCCGGAACTTAGGTACTTGTTCACAATGGCATCAGTGAGTGTACACAGGCACATTGTGTCTCTCTGGAAGTGCAACCTAAATCCTCCTGAAGTTACTACTATGTGTATTACTTCGAAAAGCAGGCATTCAGATAAGTAACGTTCCCATTAACCGCAGAAGAGTAATTCAGAGTCAGGCTTCTGTTTCTGTTCGGTCAGTGGAAGAAGACTGAAAAGTGTATGTGTACATACATGTGCGGGGAAAATGTTATCCCTGTCTTCACCCAGGAACAGGGTATGAGGGGGCAGAAGGCAACAAAATTAGGGTGACTGTAAATGTTTTGAGAAGGATTGATATTTACAAGGTTCGTTTAAAGTTTCTAGTGTTAATTTTAAAAAGTGTTGATGGGAAGATGAGTGAACACTCATGAGAAAAATTAGGAGGATTGTTTTTTTCAGCGTATTGAATGGTTCTGTTGTTGAGGAATCTGCTGTTCCTCCAGTGAGCTTTGAACCATACATCAAATTCAGCGAAATTGGGGGAGAGGTGAGTGGACGTCTCAGCAATAATCACCCTCACAGAGGAGAGACCCACGTCAGTGTCCTTGTGGAGAGAAAGGCTTCTGCATGATTGTATGCGCCCGATGTGACCTACTTACCCTGTCATGTCACAGTGGGCTCTTAGCTGGTTGCCATCAGGATGAGTAGAATCATAGAATTATAGAATAGTTAGGGTTGGAAAGGACCTTAAGATCATCTAGTTCCAACCCCCCCTGCCATATCCAGGGACACCTCACACTAAACCATGTCACCCAAGACTCTGTCCAGCCTGGACTTGGAACATAGCCGGGGATGGAGCATTCACAACTTCCTTGGCCAACCCATTCCAGTGCCTCACCACCCTAACAGGAAAGAATTGCCTCCTTATATCCAGTCTAAACTTCCCCTGTTTAAGTTTTTACCCTTTACCCCTTGTCCTGTCACTACAGTCACTAATGAAGAGCCCTTCCCCAGCATCCTTATAGGCCCCCTTCAGATACTGGAAGGCTGCTATGAGGTCTCCATGCAGCCTTCTCTTCTCCAGGCTGAACAGCCCCAACTTCCTCAGCCTGTCTTCATACAGGAGGTGCTCCAATCCCCTGATCATCCTCGTGGCCCTCCTCTGGACTTGTTCCAACAGTTCCATGTCCTTTTTATGTTGAGGACACCAGAACTGCACACGATACTTCAAGTGAGATCTCATGAGAGCAGAGTAGAGGGGCAGGATCACCTCCTTCGACCTGCTGGTCACACTCCTCTTGATGCAGCCCAGGATATGTTTGGCTTTCTGGGCTGCGAGCACACACTGAAGCCGGTTCACATTCATTTTCTCGTCAGCCAACGCCCCCAAGTCCTTCTCTGCAGGGCTGCTCTGAATCTCTTCTCTGCCCAACCTGTAGCTGTGCCTGGGATTGCTCTGACCCAGGTGTAGGACCTTGCACTTGGCATGGTTAAACCTCATGAGGTTGGCATCAGCCCACCTCACAAGTGTGTCAGGGTCCCTCTGGATGGCATTCTTTCTCTCCAGCATATCAACTGAACCACAGCTGAATGGTGTCATTGACAAACTTGCTGAGGGCGCACTGAATAGGGAAGGATGGGGGAGACCTGGGAAGACTGAGAGGATATGGTGGGGAAAACACTTGTTAACCATGAGCTTGAGGTAGGGGCAAATCTGTAGAAAGCAATTGGTTTTCTCTGTTGAAGAAACAAGTTCTGGTGTTGTGCTATGGTTGGTTGTCCTATTGCTTAGAGTTCTTTCTGAGCAATGACAGAAGAAAATAAAACTATTTACAAATTCAGGACATTCAGGCAAACCATTGCAGTTCAACAAGGCCAGTGCATGGTCTGGTGTCTGGGTTGAGGCAGTCCTAAGCGCAGATAAAGGCTGCAGGAGCCTGGAATGAGAGCAGTCCTGGGAAGGACTTGGGGGATTGGTTGATGAGAAGCTTCCCATGACCTGGCAGTGTGTGCTTCCAGTCGAGAAACCAGCTGTGTCCTTGGCTGCATCACCGGCAACATGACCAGCGAGCGGGTCGAGGGAGGGGATTCTCCCCCTCTGCTCCACTCTGGTGAGACCCCCCCCACTGCAGTCTTGCATCCAGCTCTGGGGCCCCGACATAAGAAAGACCTGGAGCACTTGGAGTGAGTCCAGGGGAGGCCACAAAGATGTTCCGAGAGCTGGAGCACCTCCACTATGGAGACAGGCTGAGAGAGCTGGGCTTGTTCAGCCTGGAGAAGATTCTGGGGACAGTTTAGCTTCCGGTGCCTAAAGGGGCCAACAGGAAACCTGGAGAGGGGCTTTTGACAAGGGCAGGTAGGGACAGGATGAGGGGGAATGGCTTTAAACTGACAGAGGGGAGATTCAGATGAGATCAGAGGAAGATGTTCTTCCCTGTGAGGGTGGTGAAGCCCTGGCAGAGGTTGCCCAGGGACACTGTGGCTGCCCCATCCCTGGCAGTGTTCAAGGCTAGGTTGGACAGGGCTTGGCGCAACCTGGTCTGGTGGAAAATGTCCCTGCCTGTGGCAGGGGGGTTGGAACTGGATGATCTTTAAGGTCTCTTCCAACCCACACCATTCTGTGATTCTGTGAACATCGATGTTCTGCTAATATGTAAGATGTGGGTGGTTGTGGAGGAGGTATGGGTGGTGTGACATGGAGAGATGGTGGGAGGAGCAATGAGGGGTAGATAGAAATGAGTTTCATGTATAAAAAGTACAACTTTGACAGACTTGGTAATTACTGCCTTTTTTTTTTAATTGCTTTTAATTAGGCTAATTCTGTTCTTAAGTATATAAATTTCTGCTTGCACAGCAATGCTGCATACTTCAGAGAAGACAACTTGTGTACTGGTAACACAGACATGGTCAAACAGTGTGTCACCCATGCTCATGCCAAGTCACAGGTGAGTCCAAAAAAGTGAATTTGCTCAGGTAAACAGAGATAAATATTTGTATGATATGTTGGGATTTTCTAATAAAGTCTGTTGAATAACCACATAACAAAAATCCTCTGCACCTCAAGAGGATGCTGCATTAGAGATGGAGTAGCTTTTACTCTCTGTTTCAGTGGAGGAGAGTAATCCTCTCTTCGTGCAAACCAGCAGTTCCCATTCAGTCTGGCTTTGAGGGCCACTTGTCAAGGGCATTTGTGAGACTTACCATGGTCTACTGAAGAATAATTCTTGGAACTTACTGTGGCCAAAAAAAAAAAATATCTTTGATTATATTAAATGAATGTATTTAGATGGTAGCATTTAAAACAGACAGAAGAAATGGCCTATTGGCTTATGTTTGTTCTCAATTGTAATTTGGCTATAAACCCCGTATATTGGATAAGCATCTCATAAATGTACTTCTCCCTCCATGCACTGTCTGAGGTGGTGCTTTCTTGTATGATTTTTGACCCAACTCTCCAAGAGAGGTCTAACAGACTTGATTCCATTTTCTCAGAAAAAAAGTTTCCTCATTCTTTGACTGCTGGAAAATAACATTTCCCTTTGCTACTGCAACAAGCATTTTCAAAATTGGATTTAGAAGGAAGTATCCAGTAATCTGCTATTTTTGAGGGTTAGTCCCTGATATTGAGACATATCTGAATAACTGACCTATTTTCTTGTTTGGTTTTAGTTTTCTGCATACCCCTGTCACCTCTTTACTTCTGCCGCTTAGCTTCCCAGGTACCCCAAGAAGGCAATTTATAGAATTCTGACTTACTTACTCTTACCCACTAGTTTCAGAGAATTAGTATCAGCACATCCTGCATAAGCTAGCCTTTTTCAGTGTGCTACAAATTAAAATGTCTGTAGGTAAGACCTACTAGAAGTTTTAAGTCAAAAAGCCAGAAGAGTGCTTTTTCTTATGTTTGCTGTATCATGCCAAGAAAAACAAGAAATAAACAGCAAATATTTATCCTGCCAAGAAATCAGAGATGAATGCATTCAGCATAGAAGTAATAATACTGTGCCGTGCTGTATTTATTGTTATGATAGATGTTTATGAAAAGTATCTGTAAGTGATGTTCCGTAGCAGTGAGTTCCTGCAGTTTTTGATGGTAACTGACTGTGAAAAGGCATTCTCCTAATTTAGCTCAGATGCTTTTTGGAAAAAAAAAACCAACTTTGTCAGGACTTCATGTCAATAAAAGTTATTTCTTCTAATTATAAAATGAAGCAAATATTTAGCTCTGATAATATTTTTTTAAGCTTATAATATGTCCTTTCAGAGAATTGTTAAATTTTCTGTAAGCCTTTGTTCTCACCTCCGAACCAGAGAGTGAAGGCCTATTGAATTGTTTTTTCAGTCTATCCCCCCCCAATGCTGTAGTTCAGCAGTGTACCTCAGATAGACATAATGTCACCACAAACGCTTCGTACAGTTGGCATAGAATCATATAGAATAGCAGAATGGTTTGGTTTGGAAGGGACATTCAAGACCATTTTAGTTTCAACCCCCTGCCATGGGCAGAGACACGTTTCCACTAGACCAGGTTGCTCCAAGCCCTGTCCAAACTGACCTTGAACACTGACAGGGATGGGGCAGCCACAGCTACTCTGGGCGACCTGTGCCAGTGCCTCACCACCCTCATGGGGAAGAACTTCCTTCTCATATCTCATCTCAATCTCCCCTCTGTCCGTTTAAAGCCATTCTCCCTTGTCCTGTCCCTGCGTGCCCTTGGCAAAAGCCCCTCTCCTCTTGCTCTAAGGTCTCCCTGGAGCCTTCTCTTCTCCAGGCTGAACAAGCCCAGCTCTCTCAGCCTGTCTCCATAGCAGAGGTGCTCCAGCTCTTGGAGCATCTTTGTGGCCTCTTCTGGACTTGCTCCAGCAGCTCCACATCTCATGTGTTGGGGCCCCAGAGCTGGACACAGGACTGCAATGAAGGGTCTCACCAGAGCGCAGTAGAGGGGGAGAATCCCCTCCTTCGACCTGCTGGTCACGCTGCTGGTGATGCAGCCCAGGACACGGTTGGTTTCTGGTCTGAAAGTGCACACTGCTGGGTCATGGGGAGCTTCTCATCAACCAACCCCCAGGTCCTTCTCCTCAGGGCTGCTCTCAATCCAGTCTCCCCCAGCCTGTGTTTGTGCTTGGGATTGCCCCAACCCAGCTGCAGGACCTTGCACTTGGCCTTGTTGAACTTCATGCAGTTTGCACTGTCACCCCTCTCCATCCTGTCCAGGTCCCTCTGAATCCCATCCCTTCCCTCCACTGCACTACACAGCTCGCTATCATTGGTGACTTGCTGAGAGTGCTCAATCCCTCTGTCCATGTCGCTGACAAAGATGTTGAACAGGATCGGGCCCAACACCAACCCCCGAGGAATGCCCATTTTCACTGGTTTCCACTTTGACATTGAGCCATTGACTGTAACTCTTTGAGTGTGGCCAGCCAGCCAGTTCCTTATCCAGTGAGTAATCCACCAGTCAAATGCATATCTCTACATATGTTTAGAGACAAAGATGTGCAGTGTTTTAATGTAGTTGTCTTTGAAAATCCCTAGAACTCCTCTAGTCTGCTTGAGGGTCCTTCACTGCTTTGTCAGCAGCTATTACCATGTCAGAATAGACAGTTACAGCCTTGAATTGTTTCCAGTACTTAGCTGGACAGCATAAGAAACAAAATATTTCCAGTAATGAGAAATAATATTTGAATTTTCTGCTGTCCTCAGAGTGCAGTTAAGTCTTCAGACAGCGGATTTCCAGCAGTCATAGGTCTCTGTCTCCTAGCTGTCCATCTCAAGCAGTGGTAGATAGGCAGAAGTGTCTGTCTCTGGAAAATTTGTCTCCTATCTATGTCTGGAGATACAGTGTGGGCACATTGATGTGTCTGGTTGTCTTCTGTCCTTGGCAGTGCCCAGGACATGACTGCACAAGCTCCTGAGTTCTCTGCTCAGAGTAGTGGCCTTGACTCTCAAGGTCCCCTCAGACCTCAGCTGTTTTGTGTTCTCTGCTGTGCAGGACTCTGTTTCTGGTGCAATTTACTGTTTATCCAGCCCAGTACTAAGATCCGTAGATTGCATCTGCCTTGTCCCGCCTGGCAGCTGTGCTAGTGTGGCACTTGACTGGGGAATGGGAGGATAGTAGGAAGAGGAGCTGTCCTCAAGGTCTTTGTCCATCTACATAGTAACAGCAGATTCTTAGGATGCAGCCTGGGTGAAGCAGGAGCGAAGGAACCAGGAATCAAAAGGGCATCAGCGTGTAGTGGGAGCACAGGACTCGCCTTCAGGTACTGTAATACCATCAGTGCCTGATAGCTTTGATACTGTTTAGCTTCATGCATATTTATATTTGAAATGTTAACATTATACCAATGGAGTTTCCATCTTATTTCTTCCCAAATAAATGTTGAAAAAGTTTCTAAATACAAAGAACTGTGTAAGGCTTTTGGAAACAGTGGATGCTTTTAGTAAATGCTTCTGTTGGCTTACTCCTCAGTTGCGATGATCTGCTTACAGAAGTTAAAAGCCCTCTGCATGCATTAGAAGATAAGATGTGATTTTACAGTGTGTTCAGTTTCGTACAGAGGGAGAGAGTTTAGAACATGCATGTTTACATTTTACATGAAAGAGCAGAAGCTGTATCTGTTGTGCTTTGGGAGAAAAAAAGATCCATTGAGATAAACCTCTTCAGGTTTTAGATATGGTAAGTTTTTTGTTGTTTTAGGAGGTAATTCAGTTAAAGCAGCAGCTTTCCCATGATTTGCAGGGTGGAAAGAATGAAGTGAAGCTCTACTGAAGACTGGAGTTGTCATCACTTGTTTTTTAACTTATTTTTAACTTTTTCTAGTTTTGAGGCAGCATTTAATTCATTCTGAGTGAAACACCTCTGTGCCTCTGTAGTCAGTCCTTTCTCTGTAAAGCCATTAGGTTATTAGTTGTTGTGACTACCTGAAATTCAGTGAAGAATTCTGAAACCAAAGCAACCTGTAGGAGGCAACACACTGTTTTATCCCTCTTTCCTTTTACCGTATCTTGTTAGTAGTTCATATGTACAGCCCAGCTAAGGATTCCTCAGTTATTTTGAAATTCTGCATGACTAGATAGAATGACAGACTCCTGTGGTTTGGAAGTGCTGAATGATGAGGTTGTATCTCGGGTACATGAAGTACCTCCTTACCTGATTTAGTCACGTTGTCCTGCACAGCTCACATTAGCAGTGATTAATGGCTCTGAAAATAAATAAATCCATTAGCTGCAGATCTTATTTTTAATTTATGTGAAAATATTTTCTACTGTAACCAAGGAGCATAATTTATCTCTGTGTTGCTTCTTAATAGACGAAACAAAACCAAGGCTCAGGCATTGTTTTGTGCTTGTTGATACTGCTAAGATGTTGGCCTTGGTCAGACACTTGTATGTGGTTCAGGAGTCATTTGTAGCAGATAATGTGGATACCACCATACTCCTCTGCTGCAGGGTAAGAGCACTGTTGTGTCATTTAGTCTCTGGGCCAGGAAGTTGTTGTTGTTTCTTATTTAATAATGCAGATGTTGATAGTGCATTTTTATGGAATGTTACAGAATATGTGTCTAACCTCCACAGGGTCATAGGAGTCAGTGCCTCCTGACTCGAATTAGAATCATAGAATAGTTAGGGTTGGAAAGGTGTTAGGGTTTCAAGTGGGATCTCAAAAACACAGTAGCTTGACCTAACTGGTTCTGCTCTGAGCAGGGATTTAGGCTAGATGATGCCAGAGCTTCCTTCCAACTCAAAGTAGGTTTCTGATACTCAGCGTAAACCTTTGTCAGTCACAGGTTTTGTCATAGCAATGAGATACTGTGTGAGGTGCGGTTCCCCATGTTCTTTAGATTCCGTATTATGTATTCTTTCAATAAATAATTTGACTTTTCTGGGCCATCACTTAAAGACAGATGGCTTTCCTTGCCCATGTTTTCTCTGTGGAGTTTAGAAGTGTTTCTTTGTGCTAATTGTGGGCACTTTATTGGAATATTTTGTTTTCAGGGATAATTTCTCTTCCCTTTGTTTTCTCAGAAGGAATGTGTATGCCTGTGATAAGTGCATTTCCGGTCATTTAGGCCAGAAGATTCTGAGCTTGTGAATGTGACATGCAGACACCTACAATGTGAAACCTATAGACAATTTGTGTTATTGTACAGTAAGTAATTTTTTATTATCATTTATTTTTAGCCTACTTTAAGGCAGAGGATGCAGCAATTTTATACTCTATCCTTTTATCATAGCTACATTCCGTTTTCCTGAAAAGTTATGTAGCTCAAGATATAAAAGGAAGGGTTTGCTTTGTTGCATTTACTGCTCATTTATGTAAACATCTGATGTTAAAAATATTTCTTTGTCTTTTCAACATAGGTAAATAGCAAGAAACAAACAATGGACACTCAATTATTTTCCCCATTATTAGGAGCAATTACTAGTACACCACCTCCGCTAGAATCTTCCCATATGTATAGTAACTGGTCAACATGTGAAGAGGATATTGGATCTAAAACTTCTTTTCAGGACTGCACAAAGAAACGGTATGAGCATTCTTGGTGTAATCTTATGGTGGTGTTCTGGATATTATGGAGCAGAACAAATGGAATCTGGATCTTTTTAGGAATTGATTCTGGGATAACTAGAAACTCAATGAATTTTTTTTTTGCTCTGTAATAGTTATTATAACGGTTGTGAAAAAGGTAGGGGGTCTGTATGTGTATGGATGTGTATGTTTACATGTAAAAACATTTAAAATTTGGAAAGAATACTACATTTAGGGAATGAAATGGGAAAATGCCATATGTAATTGAAAACTCCTTAAGGAAAATACTTTCCTTCCATGCCTCCCACCCCTCAGTACCATAGCTCGTTATGATCCTGCTTGATAATATAGAGTGTTTCCTGGAACATGAGCAATGCAGAGAGTGTTAGGCACAGGTCAAGTGTAAGTGGTGCCTCTGCAACTGAAAGCATAAATATACATACCACTACTCTTGAAAATATGCCAGTCTTCTGTCTTCCCTTGATATAATGCACTCAAGTTTGATTTTATATATATAAAAAAAAAAATCAGTTGCCGTTTTGGATGCTGAATGAATGCAAAGGGTCTTTGTTACTTGAATCATGAAACATTTTTATTCCCCTGGAGTGCTCCACTCTGCCCAGTTCTTTACTGTTGCAGGCACTTCTGATCATCCAGTCTTAATAATGCAGTAGAATTAGTAAAGGTGCAGAGCAGGGCAGTGAGGCTGGACAGGGGTTTGAAAGTTTCCATGTCAGTGGGGAGTAATAAAACTTCAGTTTTGGTGAGTCAGCTCTGCTGAGGGGTGATTTTTATAAAATCATGAATGATACAAGGGTTGCAAGGAACAGGGAATGATTATAGAAACTGAGAGGTGCCCACTGAAATAATTGGTTCTCTCCTTCATATTGGTGATTTTATGGCTTGTGCACAGCCATTGAAATTGTAACATTAGAACTATTCCAGCCTTAAAATGTAAACCATGATTTCATATTAGGCTTCCCTCTCTCTTCTTTCCATCTTAATGCCAAGTGCTGGCAATCTAATACTGCTTTTGAGGGGTTGGTTGGTACAGACTGGCACAGCAGCTTTTGACACTGTGGTGATGCTGTTAGCATTGATAGTATCAGTCTCACTGCAGTTTTTTTTATCGCTTGCCTAGTAAGAAAGAGGAAGTCTGATGTGAAGAGAAAGGGGAGTCCACTGCTTCAAAAGATGCTGAAAGGCTACAGTTAAAAAAGATATATACACTACATTTTTTTAAAAAGGTTATATAGCTTTAGTACTAGCTGTAAGTGTGAAGTTTAAGCTCTGAGTGGCAATCCACTAATAAAAATATACAATCTCTTCTTAAAAGCAGCCTTTAGATTATTGTAAGGTAGCAAATAAAAGGTAGCAAATGCAGTATCTCCCCAGATGAAGACAACACATCTAATGTCTGTCTCAAAGGCTGTGGACTTCTCCTCAGCTTCAGTTCTGAAGTTAATCACAACAGCTGGAACAGCACGCAGATGGGGCAAAGGTACCGTTTCCATTTGCCTGTTGATCTTTCACCTTCTGCAGCCCTCCTCCTCCCACCCTGGAGGGCCTTGGAGGTTGATCCTGGAAGTTCTGGTGAGGAGCTGTAGGTCTTGGTTCATTTGTCCTATTTCTTGTTCTTTGTCTGCAAGAGCAGGCTTGCTTGCTGCCACAGACTTGGTGCCAGGCTGGACGTTTGTGTTCTGTTTGGTATAGTTGTAAGCAATTTGGCATGGCTTTGCCTTTCCTGTGTGCTGGTTATTCATGGATTCTTTTTATGTTGCTCTGCCTTGGTAGGCAGAAAATTCTCTTAAGGAACTAGGAGCTAAAGATTTGATTCCTTGATGATGCAGAACTAAGGGATATTCATGGATTCTTTTTATGTTGCTCTGCCTTGCTAGGCAGAAAATTCTCTTAAGGAACTAGGAGCTAAAGATTTGATTCTTTGATGATGCAGAACTAAGGGATATTACAGCAAGTGTTTTCTGGTACAAACCAGAAAGGATAGTTGCCTATCTTGGGCTTGAGAAAACTGAATGACTGTTACACTGGGATTTTTGGTTTTGAATTCAGTTGTCCTGTGATTGATGGAGGGTAGTTTATCCAGAGACCAGAAGGCAGGAATGTAGTTGACTTCTTTTCCATGTTTTTTTTGGTGTGTTTCATGGGAAGTATCTTCCTGTCAGGGTATATTGAGATTTTACCTTACAAGATGCTTCCTGACATGTCACATTACCAAGAATTTTCATGTTGCTGGTAGCGAACAGTGCTGGCTTGAGACAAAAGGCAAGGGGAGGTGTTTCTAGTCCCTTGTTTGAACAAGTGATTGCATTAAGAAATAGGATTTGTCAAGTGTTCAGTTTCTCCTGCCTTGAATTGCATTTTAATGTTTCTGGTGCATGTACCAGAAGGAACACACAAACATTTCATCTCACGTCCATCTAGTGTGTAAAATCTGTTTGGGCAATTTTAGACACTGCTGTCCTGTGCTTGTTCTTTCCTAAGATTATCTTTTTCATTTATAGTCGTTCCAGCTTCCTTCTGACCTGTATGTGGTTCTAAAATGGCCAGTGATTTTAATTTCTATGCCACATTGTAAATTGACCTGTCCGTTGCTGAAAATCATCATCTAGATGCAAGCTTTCATATCTGATCTCTACTTGGTTGCAGCAATTGGAAATAAATAGGCCTCCTTACAAAAAATAAGGAAAAAAAAAGTTTGCCATCTGACAAAAGCAAAGAAGAGATCTAGTGATCAAGGAGCAGTTATAGTTCTACATTCATAAAACATTTTCAAGAATTCTTGCACTTACGTATATCCTAAACAAAAACACACACCAAATTCCTTCCAGAAGGAACTGAATGGTCAGAAAGTAAATAATAAGGTCGTTAGGAGTCAAAATGTGGTGAGGTCTTAAAAGCTAGTAAGGCATAACTGTCTAATTTTTACTGTGTCAAGAGATTAACAAGGTGATAGTTGTAGTAGTTTATCCCACATTTTATAGTCGTTAATCAGCAAAATCAGCATGAGTAATTATGAGGTAGCATTAGCAGATGATGTAGTTGTTGGGATAAGCTGACACCAGGGAAGACTGAAAGATCTTCAGGGACAATGAATTGAATCAGCTGAGTGAGAATAGGATGATGAGTGAAATTTATTGGAGCAAAACAATGCATGTTAGAGGGAAGGAGATCTTAATGGTGTGATGTTTTAATTAACTGCTGAGTAAGAGTTAGATGTCATTAAACAGCTCTTTAAAGATTTCATTTTGCACCTTAAGTAAAAGTTGGGCCTGTGTAAGAGTAGTGATGATTGAGCAACTTTGGTATTTATCTGGAATATTTAATACAGTTTTGACCAACTTCTTTCTAAAGGGGGTTAAACAGTGGTTCAATTTAAATATAACTTAAATGTTTTGAGATTAAAATTACAGTTATTGAATTATGGAAATAGATAATTTAGAATCCCTGAGATTTTGAGAAGATTGATCATATTAATCCTCTGACGGAGACACTCAAGATGTGAAGAAATGTCTATAAACTAAGTTATGTTGTTTGAAAAGAGGGAAAAATCTTTTGATGCTCCTTACTCTTCACTTAACAGCTTGAGAAGTGTCTGGTGAAGCAAGAAGTTAGGGAAGTTGTTCTGCTTCATTTAAGCTATAGAATTCATGAGTGCAGGAGGAGATTTCTATATATGTGTCCTGAGATTACATTAAATGCAGAACACTTAAAAGACGCTGCTGAAATAAATCAAAGGTTTAATGCTTTACTTTTCCTTTTGCCTGTTTTGTTAAGGAGAAAAAGACTTTCTAGGTTTATTTGGTTTGTTTTTTTTTAGGGCACCAGTAAACCTTTCTTATTCTGGCAGTGGCCCTGATATGTTTGGGCTAGTGTCAAGCATTTTAGAGGAGCCAAGCAAGCCAGAACCAGTTACAGACTGGTAAGTTTGATCTGAAAGTTCTTATATGTGCGCATGGCCTTTTGTCCTTTATCACACAGATACACATTTTTAATTCTTTCACAGTGTTGAGTAATGAAGGTCTTATAAAACCCCTTGAAGTGTAGAGGTGTTCTTCTTTACTGCAGTTGCCATTAAAAAAATAAGGCAACAAACTGTTAGAAATGCAAATTTTCTAGTCTTCTATCAACCTACAGCATTTGGGAGGAGAGGGAAAAATCTCATTTTAACTGGTAGGGTGTTGACTGAATACAGTCAAATCTAAAATATTTAATAAATCTGAATAAACTCTGCAGTTCTCAATATACAGATTATAAACATTAGAGAACAGCATTAGTAGTCAGATTTCACATAGCATGTACTCAGCTACAGCAGGAATACTTCCACAGCTTATGTTTTAGAGGACGGCTGTGTACGATTAGCCACGAATGTAATGGGGGAAACATGCACGTTGAGGGAATGACAGTGATACATGAACTGCTTTAATGTAAGAAATTTCTTAAACTATTACAGGAGGCTTGTTTAACTTTGTTACAGGAATTCTCTTTCAAGATTGTTTCCACCTGTGTGGGCATCTGACCTTGGAAGCAATGGTGAATTCTCAGGACTCTCATCTAAGCACTCTGTTGAAAATCAGGATTTTTCAACCGTGATGGGTACACAGAACTGCTGTCAGGAGCACTTGCAGAAGCCACATGATGTGGAGATGTTACACAGAGGTTTGGAAGATCTTCATCTCATACAGTCTTGGCTTTCTCCATCTGGCCCTTGCACTCAGCCTGATAGTATTCTGAAGAACAGTTACCCTGGCAATTCCTCTTCGCAAAATAATAATGCAATTCATCAAGAAGGATTTTCATTTCAAAATGTAGACTATAATCAGCATTTGGGCAGTTACGACCACATAAGTTTAAATGGAGACTATGACAAAAACGGCTCAAATTTTAGCACTTTTTCTTCTCAGAAAAGAGTTAAAGAAGGCACTAGCGTTCAGAAAGAGGTTTGGAAAACTGAAAGAGCAAGAAGCAAAGCTCTGAAAAATTGTACTCAAGAACAAGCTAAGTATTCCCCTGATATTTCTAATCAGCCTGTTGATGACTCTTGGGATCAAGTGTCTCAGGGCAACCACTTGTTTTCTAAAAGATATGGAAACTTTACAGCTGCTCATAAATTACAGTCATCTATTCATCCATCACCATATTTTTTCAATCAACCCCCTAAAGAGAATATTTTTTCTAGAGGCGCTGACAAAACAGCACAGGAAACCCATGTGCAAAATGGTCATCATAGCTTTACTTCGGGGGATGCTCTTAATAATAATGACTGTAAGATCCATATTAGTCCTCAAGAATGCTCTCATAAGGTATCAGAATATGATTTATCTCTAAAAAATGTGATGCAAAATGGGAGTTACTCATCATACCATGGATGTACATGGCTGGATGGGAAAACAGCTACGTCAGATATCCCACGTGGAAAGCAAGTGGTAACAAGTCCGCAATTGTCTTCAGGGGTTTCGGCCATGTCTCTTGGTTATCCCACACATCAGTCTGTAATGCAGTCCTACTACCCACAGATCTTACCTGTCTTCCCTTCAGGGAAGGATGAAAGGTCACAAATATCAAGTGGTGTTTCTAAAAATTTAGGAGTTTCTAATTCCATCTCAGAAAATCCGAAGCAAGTGAAAGCGATTGGACGATTGCAGCACAATTCATTGCCTAATAAGGAGGGGCAATACCACAAATGCCCCATTGATTTTCCATCTGACCGGTTAACCCAGCAAAATGCTGTAAGTGAAGACCCTGAAAAATATCACAGATTTCCAAAAAAACAGACCCAAGAAAGTAGTAATAAAGATGATAAAAGAGGCAGAAGGAATTGGACTCCTCATTTTGGATATACAACCCCAAATCATCAGCAATTCAATATGTTCCGAAAAAGGCATGAACAGAATGGTGGTAACATGTCAGATTTCATCAATCCTTCTTTTTTTCCTTCTTTCCCATTGATGTCTGATTTTAAACAAAATCCTGGCTTTCCTTCACTTAATTCTCACCTGTTTTCATCAGCAAATAATTTCAGTTTCCCTCCATCACCATTTCCATTCTCAGAACTTGTTGATCTTTTTCATTATGATGACTTGAGCCACTTGTATCCCTTTATCAATGATCTGTTTTGTGGAGAAATAGCTGCACCATACTTTGCCTTTCCAACACCATTTAACAAGTACAGACCTCTGAGAAATCGCAGTGGACCTGCTAATGAGCTTCACATCCGACTGGAGGAGTGTTACGAGCAGTGGAGAGCTTTGGAGAAAGAGAGAAAGAAGGTAAAACACAACTGACCAAACTTCCTGCCGAAGCTGTCAGTCCTTTGGAGGAGGCGAGAATTCTGACATCACGCTGTTAGTTTTAAATAACTAGAACAACATCTGCAGCATCTGCTTTAAGTACAGTGCTCGTATTGTTTGGCACGACTGGTTTTAAATTGTGTGTGGCTTTGAGTTTCAGTATCTGAATCACTTTCCCTTGGAATACAACATTTCTGTGTTTGTGTATCTATTTTTTCTATAGAAATTTTTTTCTAAATTTCTATATTTGCTACATGAAATGTAGCAATGTCACTGGCCAAAGCACTCAGTTACTGTTAGCTTGGATGGTTTTTATTAATATGGTCAATAAAAAGTCACTATCTATTTGTTATTAATTCCATAGGCCTTTGCTATGACTCTAGATGATATGATGATATATCATGGCCCTCACTGCCACAAGTGGTTTGTAAAGTACTGGCGGTTTATGGCCCTTAATGCTCTTAAAGGTTCATGTTGCACGGTTTAGTTAGCTGGATTTCTCTTCCTTTCTTGTCCCATAATTGTCTCCAACTAAATCTTTAACTCAAGTATTCTGTACCCAGGCTCTCCGTTTAAGGAGAGAAATTTTTGTGGTATGTTTTAGTTTTTGTTGGTTGTTTTTTTTTGTTGTGTGTTGGTTTGGGTTTTTTGGTTTTTGGGTTTGTGGTGGTTTTTTGTTTTTTTTTTTTTTTTTTTGTTGGTTGGTTTTTTGTTTCGTGTTTTTTTTGTTTTGTGGGGTTTTGTTTGGGTTTTGTTTGTTTTGTTTTTGTTGTTGTTGTAGTTTTGTTTGTTTGCTTTTCCTGGCAGTGATATAGTAGTGTCTTTCTTGTATTAGACTAACTTGGATCTAGTCCATTCTTAGTGATCCAACTTTAGCCTAGTGATCTACACAGGCTTTCTCAGTCCTTAGGTTTTGTAGTTATAGGCTACACCTGCAGTTAGCTTTAACAGTATAAACTGTTCTCTGTCCCAGCTGCCATAACATGGCTCACATTCCTACAGCCAAAATAATAACTCCTCACAAGGGGCTGACTGCATCCTGACTGCCTGAAAATAATGTGCTTGGGCTGTGTTAATCCCTGCTTGTAGGTATAGTTTTGAAGAATGCTATAGCTCACTTGTACCTATGTGTATGGGAAGGGTCTGTCTTCTGACATTCTCAGACTTCTGATATTCTCACCCTACATTAATTTGTTAAAAGTGTTGACAGAGAACTCCCCCCAGTGGGATTTGCATATAAGTCTATATAATCTGTCTAATCAGTCAACCCTTTCAGCTCTCAGAAACCTGTTCAGGGCAACTGCTTTGGAGTTCACAGCAACAGTGAACTTACCTGTTAACTTGTATAAATCTCACCTTTCTAGGCATCTCACATTTAAAAAAACATTGTGAATTGCCTGTGATATTAAATGTGCATAAAGATTAATACTGGAAATTGCTTATTAGTTGTTAAATACCTGAACACCTGGTGTCATATGAATTTATGTTTTTTTCTGAATGTCAGGCTTCTGAGATGAATACAGGTGGAGTCAGCTGGCTCTTCTAATTCATGTTAGGTGAGGGCAGAGACTAAATAATATGGATGTGTCAGTAAACCAAAAAGAAATGAACTTAAGCACATATTTTCAGTATGAACATGCATATAGTATGAATGTGGACTTAACCTTGCCTTGAACTGCAATGTTGTACTAATCTTTCTCTCCTGAGTCTGTTGAACATTAAAGAAGGTATGAGATAGGGAATCATTTGCTAATTGTGTCTTTTTTACTTCAGGTGTAAGAAGCTCCTGTCTAAAAGTAGGTGATGTTTAGTCACTTCCTGCACTGTATAGTGGTTTGACCAGTTCCTTTCTCAGTGGGGAGTTTAGCAGCTGTGTGACTTTCTCAGAGCTGATACCAGTTTATGTTAAATCTGGCTTAATCCTGATACACTTCAAATACAGCTTATGTTGGTGTGATCACTTGTTTCTTTTGTTAATAATCATACTATGTGACATTTGAAAGGCATACCTGGGGTGCTGCAGAAGACTTTTTTTGCCTGTGGTCTGTGTCCGGGATGGATTAAAATAAAGTTGTACAGCTTTGTAAAGCTGCCAGTGAGCATTGTACTCTGAGGTGGAGCTGAATTACAGAAGTATTTTCAGTCTCCTGGCAGCTGGTTGTACATCTAAACAAGTGTTTGGGAGCATTGTTGTGCAGATGCCGTCGGAAGTAAAGACAGGAAGTGCACTTCTAATGTATTTGAAAATTCTAAATGGCCCCAAAATGTGGTTTGTAATACTGTAGTAATTTCAAACATGTACAATGGCTATTTATTTCCCTTTCAGACTGAAGCTGACCTTGCAAGAAACTTCCCAGGAAAGCGCATATCAAGCTCAAATACCACTCCCATGTCCCGCCTTCCTGCTAACCCATCACGAGTTGATCGCTTGATTGTTGACCAGTTAAGAGAACAAGCTAAGGTAAGTCTTCTTGAGCTCCAATTCCTGCATTTCTTTTTGTTGTTCCGTTTGTTTAATGAAGATTTATATATGTTTAGTGATTTTTGGTGTTTTCAATGTCTGGCAGGTGCTCACCTTAGTAGGAAAGATGGAAAGGCTTCGTGGTACCCCTGTACACAGTAACATATCCACTACATTGAAACACCATATGGAAGCCATTCATGTAACACAGGCGAGGCGTAAGGATGAGATTGTTAGTGCTGCTAATCCACAGAGACAACGAGCGCTGCGTTATAATAATGAGAAAGGTAACTGGTTTCCATTACTTTGGTTTTAAAAGGTTTTTGAAAGTTTTAATTGTAGAAATAAGCCATTTGAAATACAGGAATTAGAAATAGGCAGCAATTATTGTAACTGCAGCAAAAAAAAAGTGTAAACCTACACCTGTTACTTTTTAAACAACTTTTAAGCTATTTTTTTGTTCTTTTCTGCTTTTCCATTGGTACTTTAAATACTTTGAAACGTTTTCCTCTTCACTAAGAGCAGTAAAAACTGTCTGGTGATGTCATATAACTAAGTAGTTGTCCTAAAAGTGAAAATGTATGTGTTTTTAACAAGTTGAATTAATTTTTTTTCAATTAGTGTTACTGCTACTCTTTCTTTTCAGCTTATAAAACACACCAAAAAAAAGTTGGTGCCTTGTTAATTGATTATGTCTAATTACCTAAATCACAAAACCACCAGAAATTGCATTTCGTGAATTCCAGTATCTGCTCAAGTAAAGCCAGAATAATTTGTAGCAGCAATATATACTTATGTAGAAGTAATGCAAAATGAGGACAGTTGCTTTCCCTTTCAGCACCACAGTGGGAGTGATAACTTGCTATTCAGTATAGTGATCATACAGCTGATACATATAGGAATTCAGGGTTTGGAGGTAAAGATCGTATTATTTTTAATTCAGAAAATGCCTGTGTCCCGGGGAATTATTTCCAAAGAGGAATGGACATCTCCTGCCTTCTCCCATCCATTTTTTGGATCCTTACTCAGCGCTGTCCTGTATTGTCTTATTTCCTGTTGCTGCCATGATGTGGTGTTCCTTTGGCTTCCAGCAACATGTATGGGATAGTTCTTCCATGTAAGACGGAGAAGATAGACTGTAAAGAGAGTCAATATGTTTTGCTTTCACAAGTTAGGTGTCAATCATGATGTCATATCCTTAAAAATGATAGTCCTAGATGCAAACCAGCTTCTAAAATTACTCCTAAAATTGTGTAACAATGTTAGCCCCAAGCATAAGCCAGGAAACAGGTAGGTGTTAAAAAAAAATAAAATAATTCCTACAAACTGTGTTTTTGATAATGCTTCATAGTAAAGGTGTATGGAAGCATTATTTAAACCATCCTGTATCCTACTTGTAGTTAGAAAAATTGCAGTTAGTCATTTACAATTAGTGATAACATCTGCAGTGCAGTTACGTTTCTGAAGAAGAGATGTGCTGCTGTTGTCTAAGTACAATCTAAATCACATGCAGAAAAGCCTTTAGCATGTTTTCTTCACTATGAAACATGTTTGAGTTCTGCTGTTAGTGCTTATATATCCCAAGTTCAGCAGTGAGCCTTTCCTCACTGTGAGGTTGGGTGGGAATTGCTATCACCACAAGGAAGATAAAGGAGTTAAAAAGGATTGCATTAAGCTTATCTGGCTGGAATTGAGTGGGCAGTTTTACTAACTCTGCTTGTTGAGTAAAAGTGTGCAGCTGCGGGGAACAAAAGCCAACAGGATGCTGGGTTACATCTGCAAAGGCATCTCCAGCAGAGATAAAGATGTTGTTATCCTACTGTACTCAGTGCTCATCAGGCCGCATCTGGAAGTCTGTGTCATGTTTTGGTCCCTGCTGTACAAAAAAGATGTGAACAGGCTGGAGAGGGTCCAGAGAAGGGTCACAAAGATGATCCAAGGACAAGGCAGCTGTGTGAGGAAGGGCTAAAAGAGATGAGTTTGTTCAGCCTTGAAAAAGAAGGCTCAGAGGAGACCTTATCACTATATTCCAGTATTTAAAGGGTGGCTACAAAGAAGATGGACACTCCCTTTCGACAAGTGATCAGATGGGAAAGACAAGGAGTGATGGGCACAAGTTACTTCTGGGGAGGTATCAGTTGGAAACCAGAGGAAAATTTTTCAGAATGAGAACAATCAGCCCCTGGAATAATCTCCCCAGGGAAGTGGTGGATTCCCTAGTGTTCAATACTTTCTAAGATTTTGCTGGTACAGGGTGCTGGGTGATCTGATCTAGGTCATGCTTTGCCAAGAAAGGTTGGACCAAATGATCCCTGAGGTCCCTTCCAACTTTGGATCCTACGATTCTGTACTTGAAGATAGTCCCCTCTGGTAACAATTAAATAGGCTTAATTATTTCATCACAGGTGTGGTGGTTATACCACGGAATTCTGGACACAGTTATGGTTGCTGTTAGTGTGAGATGTTAACAGCTAACTGATGGAATTCAACCAATGCAACACCAGTGTATTTTGTTAGCTGTTTCTTTAGCACACTTTGTGTACCAGTGATGGGTTGAACAAATGTACTAATTTTTAAACTGTATTAATATTACCAGGCCAGTGTATACGAGCGTAACCTGTAACGTGCTTTTCCATTGTAGATGTTCTGGCTCTGGCAGCTGCCATTAGAGACTTGGCTGCTTCTACACGCAAGGCTCGTACCGCTTTATGGTGTGCACTGCAGATGACCTTGCCAAAAAACTCTTCAAGCAGTCCAGTAAAACCAGAAGTTGTTGAACGGGCATTGCAGGAGCTTTGTCCTCCAAACACAAGCACACAAGAAAAAAAGCAGCATGGAGCATGAAAACAAACGATGCAAAAAAGAAAAACCTGAGGAACCCAAGAGGATTCTGGAATAATAGCTAATAATAATAATAACAACAACAAAAGGGAGGTTGAGGATGGGGAGGTAAGGGCAAAGTGTCCTGCCCAGTACCACGGATGGTGTTTTTGATAAGCTATCAAAAGCTATCAAAAAAAGCAAAAGGGTTACCATTACTGATTAGTGCTGCATTTCTATTACTGTGATTCTGATGTTGAGACACACATCTTGTAATAGTGTTAATGCAATTTTAATATTGCTGGTATTGCAGAGTCTGCTACATAAGAATTTTGTTATTAAGATGAGCTAAATAGTAGCGTTTCCTTGTGTGCTTCTCCAAAGCTGTGTATCAACTGTGAGTCAAGCCATGACCCGAGAAACTAGAGTGTGGTAGAACTTAATTCTCTTTTATTTGTTTTGTTTTTTACGTTAATAATACAATTTAGCATACTAAAACAAACAAATCCATTAGAAAGCTGTTTCAGAATTGTTCAGGGTTTTTTTCGGCACCATTATGTGGTTCTTTTAAGTGCCAAAGTGATCATGAAGTAGTTTGCATCCCGTCATTGTGCAGAGCAGTCCACACTTCTGTAGTGTTTCCTGTGGCAGGGACTTGGGTAATTCAGATTAGCGCTAACAGGAGTTTGACAAGAATAATCAGTGTTTAATGTTGGTTGTGTGAGATGCTTCCGCAGTCACGCTGCCGCTTCAGTTCCTAGCTAAATCAGTGTAAACCAAGCTTTTCCAAACCATAGTCCATTTTAAATTCTTCATAAACAAGGAAAAAGGTTTTGTAGCTTTGCAGCGAGTACTGCATTGAAGTATACTTTAGCAGGTGATACAAAATTGTCACTCAGGATTAGAAATTAGATTTATGGATTCCTCAGTGGGTTAAAAAACAGTAACTATATAACATAGTATGCACTTAATTAAAGAAAATTGCTGTTTGTTAATATAAGTTCATGGTACTATAATTTTCAAAAACATTCCATATTTATTTTAATATCTTTATTGAATGTTTATTTAAAAATCTATTTTAGTAATATAAAGTTGGATATTTTGCCAAATCTTCGGAATAATCAGATTTAACGATTTACTCAGGAAATATGTATATTATTATATAAATGTACTCATAGTATGTAGAGATTTTTTTTGGGGAAGGGATATTTGCAAAATATTTACACAAAGCTAACTATATACTAGGTTACCAAAGCTGTTTAACTAATTAATTTTTCGCATGGAAGATTTAGTAAGTTTAATTGCTGTTAACTTGTCTCCATTGTGTGGCTTAGACAATCAGAGTGTTACGTATACATGTGAATGTTCAGGGTGAGAATTAGAAAAGAGTAATTCAAGTTTTGTTCTTAGGGCTCTTACAGGTATTTTAATGTCTTACTGTCACATGATCTCTTAACATGTACTAATAACCAACTAAGGTTCTTGGGTATCAGTATATTAGTGAGTATATTTTGGAGAGTTGTTCTTATTTTAAAATTGAATTAAGTTGGGGATATAAGCAACATTTGAAAGACAAAAATGAAGGTTTTTCTGTTCCATAGTGTTTGATGTTGAATTTGACATTTTGTGGATAAATCTGTGCTTGTTTCCATATCTAAATGTACTTGCCAAATGTTCCAAATACGGTTCTGTAGTTTTGGATCTGTGGATGTTTCTGGAGCAGGTGTAGTCTCAGTAGTGCCATTGTTAACTGTAATGAGGCAGCAGCTATATAACTTTATAGAGAAAAGTTGCACAAGCCTCACCAATCCACTGAATAAAGTCTAAAAGCATGTCAGTACAAATCAGAATCCTAGTACAGCAAGATTATGTTTTTTCTTTCCTAAAGAAAGTTAATTCAGCTTAAAAGAATATTTTCAGCCTAAAGAGCAGGTAGTGGAGACAGCTATCTTAGTGTGAGTGGTTCCTCTATGCTCATGTGCAATTTATTTCCTCAGACTAGCTTAAGAAAGCTAAATTTGCGTTTGTGAAACTGATTAACTGTACTCCATGGTTTAAAAAGTGGAGTCTACAGTATTTCAGTCAGTGGATGATTTTGGATTTTAATTATGCTTTCTGTGGCAGCAAGAAATCAGAATTTTGCAAGTCTTGGTCAGCTTTTCGGTTTACAGAACAGTTGTTGTTCTGCAGGTTTGTTTTGTAATGGTGAATGTATAGGGTATAGTAGGTCCTTGTTGTGTTGCTCCTGCGTTATTGTTGTGAACGAGTGTGGTCTTAAATGGTTCATAATATAGTTAATATGCCTTTAACAGTTTAATTTTTCAAAAATGGCGACTAGCTGTATGCTCATGTCCATTTTCAATTGCAGTTTCAAAATGCATTTTAAAACAGTTACACTGTGGCTGCATTTGACTATAGCTAACAATTGGCATACACTGTTAATGAGGTTCTTGCATCCTGTTAGATTGTTCAGTCACAAGCTCTTTAACAATCATGAAGCACAGTAGCTGTGGAGAGTGGCCAAAGTCCAGATGTGTTAGATCAAATTTTCCTTGTTGTGCCCTACAAATGCAAGCAGCTTGTGTTTCATTTTGCCTTGCTCTGTTTTCTTCATAAAAAATTGGGGTTTCACATTACCATGATTTGTGCCCTTTTCTTTAAATGGTTTGATTATGGACAGCATGAGTCCTATAGAGACAAATATCTTTTCAGAATGCCTCAGTTCTGTTGCTTCATTACACACCCTTTTATATTCCAGGGGAAAAAAACACTGTATTTTGTAAAATAAGCACCTGGAGTTACCGCAGCTGGGTTAGTCATAACATTTTTTTTAGCTGCTTAATTTGGCAACAGTTTACAAATTCTGTAAGTATTGCACCGAATTTTTGGTATGAATAAATACAGTGCTTCTGATTTTAGGGACTGACTGTGTTTGTATTTTACTGATGTCAGTGGAAACAGTGTTAAGATGTTAGGTCACACCTAAGCCAGAGAAGTGGTTTTGTTTTGGAGTTAATCTAATTTTTGAAATTTCCTCACCTGATTTGTGGAGCAGTCAGGTAAAATTTAGTTTATTTCCTCCTCCCTCCTCTCTCTTCCTTCTCCCTTCCCTTCCCTAATCCCCTCCCTCCCTCTTTTTTGAGATTTAATTATCTTCTTTTTTTTATGTTTTGATTTAAGCAGTTTAATTTTGTGAATGAGGTGAAGATTAGCATGGTTTTTGCTGGTCGTGGTAACAGTGATATTAGACTGCTCCGTTTTAAGGAAACACGATACTTAAGGGTCCCTTCTCAAGTCAAAGTTATTATTAAGGGTGTATGTTTTGATAGTTGGTAGTGAATCTTTAATGCTTTAAAATCTCCAATTGATAGTCCAGTACAACATAGATTTACAGTGATTTCTGTATTCAGTATAAATAACCAGAGGCTTCTGGTGATTCAGCCTTACTGATTCCCAGAAAACAGGCCAGCATTCAGAGTAAGAACTTCCTTTTACCTGGTTACGGGTTTGGTATCTCTGCTTTTCTTCTGTATAGAAATCATCCCTCTGGCAATCAAGTTAGTCTGATGGTATCTATATAAACTAAAACTAAGAAATTGGTATTAATTCATCATTATTTTAGTTAGAACAGCATACAGAGAGATTGTCTAGTTTATGGCTTGTGTTTTGCTGGGGCCTTTTCAGAAGTGTAAGACTTTCAGTTCCCAAACTAGGCAATTTTCTTTCCAGACTGAATAGTCTTCTTTTTTCTTGGTGTTTACCACCACCACTAATCTTTTGTCTTTACCTGGGTACGTGTAATTTGGAAATTATTTGCCTTACAGCTTGGAAACTGATGCTCTCTTCTCTATAAGAAGTCTCACTGTTATTCCTGGTACTTTTCTCTTTGGTAAAGTAAATGAATAATAGAAGACTGTGGGAGGCTTTGCTGAGGTACTTGCCTTTTCGGAGAAGTGTTTTGGAGATACTCTAATTTTGTGGAAAACTTCCTAGCTTTCCTATGCACTTTCCTAGCTGTGACCCTGAGCACAGCTTCCTGGGACCATGTTCAACCTGCCACCCAGGCCTTCTCCTGTTCTCTTTGGGGAAATAAAGAAGACAAGGGGAGCTATTTAAAGGAAGAAGACACTGAGCCACTGGAAACCCTAGTTCAGTGGAGAGGGTCACTCCTCATGGGGGCTCCTCTGATCAGAAGGGTGTAAGCCTGAGAGGTCAGTAGTCTTCCTTTGCTTAAAGTGTGTTTCCCTTTTCCCCGTCTGCTCACAGATGCCAGCAGGGTTCAGCTGCTGAGAGTTGTGGCAGAGTTGGCTAGTTCTTGCCCTGGTAGCAAACTTGTCTCCTTCCACCTTTGTGTGATTTAATCCTATGGAATCAAGCTTGCATATGAGCTTCAGGGACTAGAAAAGGGCTTGGGAGCTGCTGGTTCAAACTGGCCAGGTATGGTCATCCCTCATGGATCATGATCACAACCTCTTGCCTCTCAACTCTGAGAGAAGACAATGAAGTAGGAGTAAAGCTCAGCTTTTCTAGATACAGAAAATGATAAATGGCAAGGAGTGCTTAGCATAAAACTTCCATTGAGCTGTTTGGGTTGTAAATCTGCTCTTCCTCAAGTGACAGCATTAAGCTTTGCTCGGTACGATATTCTCAGACACACAATTTGTATTGGATCGCAGCCCTAATTCCATGGTTGGTAGTTGGATGGTTTTTGTTTGTTTAAATGCTTTAAAGACTAACAGACCTTAAGCCTGTGTGTATTTTTTTAAAGTTATATTGTTCACTGCTCTGAAAGCTGGGTTTTGTTTGATCATTTTGGGGTTTGATTATTTTGGAATTTGTTTGATTATTTTGCATTTTTATGTGGGGCTTGTGTGTTTTTGTTGCTGCTATTTTTATTTTTTGTTTATTTGCTGTTTTATTTGTTGCTGTTTTTCCTGTTCTCTGTTTGGGAGCTGTGATGCTAGAACACTTCATGTTGGAGCAGCCCAAAGCAGGAGGGTTAGTGATCTTCTTTGTCTCTTCATTGGTTTGACAGTGTACGGTGGCCATAGCTGTAAAACTGAGTTTTACCTTATTTATGACTACAGTCATCTATAGGGTTGGGGTTTTGTTTTTGTGGTGTTTTTTTTTTTTTTTTTTTTTTTGGTTGGTTGTTTTTTTTGTTTGTTTTGCTTTGTTTTTTTTTCCCTGATAGTTATTAGAATCATAGAATGGTTTGGGTTGGAAGGGACCTTGGTGATCATATAGTTCCAGCTCCCTCCCACTAGACCAGGTTACTCCAAGCCCCGTCCAGCTTGGCCTTCATTATATCTCATCTAAGCGTACCCTCTGACAGTTTTCATTAACATGAAAAACTCGACTTCCTGTTTATTTAACTCTTCACGAAAGTAGATTCTGTTGAACAAGAACAGGGAATCCTACACATCAGTGAATATGAGAGCAGTTGACTTTGGTGTGTGTATATATATATGTGTATATATATATATATATTTCTAATTAGGTGCATTTGCAATTAGTGAGGCAGGTGTGGTCCTGCTTCCACTGAAGCCAGTACCTTTAACAGGTTTTTCTCTTTATCTGGCTTTGTTGCTTTGCTGGCATAATATCCTGGGTTAAGTAGGCTCTTAGTAAATGCTTGGTAGTTTGCCTTCAACATTTATTATCAAGAAACTCCAAAAGGATGCATTCCCAACCTTTTTAATAAGGTTTCTCACTAGACTGACAACGTTGAATTAGCAGGATAATTTTGCTTTCTTTTAAAGCTGAGGAAGGTACCTACTGCAGAAGTTTTGAATTGAATTTGTGGCATTCTGAGAATTTTGCACCTTGATTTGTCCTGATCTGTTTCAATGGAAATACAGCCTTAACCATGCTAAGAACTTGATATATTTCCTGTGCAGTTTATCCATCTAGGATGCCAGCACTTTTTGGTTCTGTAGCACATTATATAAAAATCAGCCATCTCTTATTTTTTGATAGATACTGCTTTCTAATTTGTTGTTTGTGGTTGTTTTTTAGATAATAACTTTGCCAATTTTGTCAGTTATATGGAATGGAAAGTCCTTATTTTTCTTCATTAGCAATACTGTAATCAGAGGTGCAAAAAAGAAATTGATGCATTTAATGTATGTAGCCTCTGCTGTTAGAGATTGAAAATGTATCAGGTTATTGAGGAACTGGAGCTATAAATCCTCTTTGCTTATTTGCCAGACAAGCTTTATAAAGGAAAATATTTTCATATAGTGGGGGGAAGGAAGAAAAAAAAAAAGCTTGTTAGAAAGAATAAAAGAATAAATCAAGAGTCAGCTTAAAATCATTGCCAGAGAAAGACTGGGAAGATTGATTTACATTTTTTTTACTGTAGAAAATACAGCCAGTTTAAAACTTGTTAATGCACAGTAATAACTTAATGAGCATAGTTTTTTCACAGAATAGACTATTTCCAATATATATATGGGAAAAATAAGTTTCCTTTTATTTTTTATGACAGATATACAAAGATTAAGAGTGTCTATATTTTAATATGCAATTTGATGTCTGAAGTATATCTTTTACATGTTTGTTGGTCAAACTCATTCACTTAAAATAGCAAATTTTACACTACTAGTGAAATATTACTGAAGGAGGATGTTGTGAGTTGATCCATTCAGTAGGCCCAACAGAAAGTTGTGAAGGTCTAATTTAGCTTATAAAAAAGTTGT